CTGGGACCTGTGCGTGGCAGAGATGAGTATGGAGATATGGGATGAGAATAGAGAGATGGTAACCGTTCGGCCACGGAGGCAGTTAAAATACAAAGACTATTACTACATTACCAATGTCTTTACCTGTCTCTGGCAGTGTGCTAGAATTTTTTAAAATGATATTAAGGGCCAGACCACCATCACCTTTGTCACACCTTCTGAGAGTGTTCCTCCTGGATACGAGAGCTTTAAATCGCAAATATCTAGGGCCACTGTCACTGCGCCCGTCACCCTGAGACATAAGTTGACAAGTCCCATGTGCCTGTAATTTTACCAGCACCCTTACCCTTCAAAATCGGAATGCAATAACGCTCACTTTACTGCTTGGCGGCAGAAATAGGTAAGGTGGCACTACTTCCCTGAACTATTTCTTTCACAAGAAGCTCTACTGCTACTGAGTCTATATTAATATCTGCGTCATTGCCAGTTCTTCTTCGTCTCGCTTTTTTTGATAACACTTTTAATAAATAGTATCATACATAGATTTTATAGAATTTAGAATATTGAATACTAAATAATGTTTTAATACCCACAAAACAAACATCAGACGTATACAAATGCATGATAATTCCAAAGGGTATGAGTTGAAGCACTTCTCGAGTATAATATATTTACTGTACAAACATGTCTCCGGATTACTTAACTTCGTCAGTAATAGTTCAAATAGAACTTTGAACATCATGTCGTATGTGTGGAACGGATAATAAATAGTAGGATGTTGCTCGCTTTATGAGTGGAAGTAGAGAAAATAATTTATATACACAATTCATTTTATTATTTCGTCCAGGGTAGTACTGCCACCTTACATATTTTTGCCGCCAAGCAGTAATGTCAGCATTACTGGTTTGGAGGGTGCTGGTGAAATTACAGGTACATGGGACTTGTCAACTTATGTCTTAAATCTTTGCGATTTAAAGCTCTGAGTGATTGCAACTGTAATGGACAGGCGTGTAACTTACCATTAGGCGTACGACTTGTTCGTCCCGTCACACTTGATATTATAAAAAAGTATACTTTTACTATGTCCGGCCAAAAATTAGACATACAAACATTGAAGATATAATAAACATTTTCTCACGTGCAGTTCGACGGACTAAACCAGGTGTAACTTATATTTCTTTAATATTATTACATGAGCGTGTACACAGTCATGGATGTAATAAGTCAATCAGTAATTTAAACGCGGTGATAGTTGTATGAGTAATTTTTAATGATAACGAGATGTCAAAATAATAATAATTTGAAAAACACCAACATAAATTTACAAATGGTAAAACTTTGAGAATATATTTAGGGAATTGTCATTTAAAAATTTCTACACTGTATTTGTAAATAAGTTGCTTATTTCTTTTTTTTAATAGCATAAGGTTTTTCTCAGACCTTAGTACTGTCGGTAAATTATTGTAAATTTTCGGCGCCATTACAAAAATACTTTACTGCATGATAGTAGTTTTACAAGCTTTCAAATGAAGTTGATCATAACGTCTTGCGTTTAGAGTTCCCGTAAACAAGAGTGGATGCATTTGGACATGAACACAGTATCTTAGAATATAAAGTGTTGAAACAGTCAATAGTCGAAGTTACGAAACTGATGTTATAAAGAAATTAATAGTACACAGTTGAAACTTAATGTATACACATTAAGTTTAAAGTAAAAAATAAAACAAATAAATGAATGAAAATGAAAATCCTCAGTGGGGTTCCGGTACGACTTAAACTTTTAAGGCCATTCTTTCCAGAGAAAGCACATGTGTTGATGATGCGCTTCCCCATGCCATTATGCTATATGATATCAAGGACTGACACAAGGTATAATAATACACCATCTTGGTAATGGCTGCATCATTATTAAGACGGAGCATTATGCCTTGTATGTAGGCTATATAGGCTAGTGTACATAGGCTAACTATTATTTTTATTACTTGCTCATCTGTTTTGCATTTTAGGTTCGATACATAACGGCGAAAGATGTAAACGAAAAAGCGAAAGGCGAGGAGGAAGGGGAAGGGAAAGAATTCGATTATAGCGAAGAAGACGACAGCGAATACTCGTCAGAATTCGAAGAAGATAGATGTTGACTGTAAATATATTTCACAAGCGATGAATTTGGGTCACTCTACAATAAATATAAACAAATTGAAATACAAAAACATATTCCAATATGTATAATAGTGATAATTTATTTTAATTTCCATTAATAATTAACAATAAATTTAACTTAATAAAAATTCGTATTGTTCAAATAAATTAATTTGTAAAACATAAGTAGCGTAAATTTAAATGTTCTTTGTAAAATTTAAAAATAAGGTATTTAATTAATAACTTTTATAACTATAGTAAAATAATACGGTGGTTTGCATTAATATTAGACATAAATGGTTTATGGGACTTTTGTTTGAAAACCAAATTTACGCAATTTAAATCCGGAAAAATTGTTACATTTTCTATGTGTAATGATCGCGCAAACCAAGAAACTCGATAAAAACATTTTCTGTTTATACTTTTTTTGGTTTTTATAAAAGTGCACTTAAAGCTTTTACGCATAAACAAAAAAAAAATAGAAACAAAAGTAAATTCTTTACGTCGTTTATTAATTCCCAAGCTACAATAGCTTCACAATTAAATTATTTTTTGTTGGATATATTTTGATCCATACAAATGGATATATTAAAAACAGGATTCTTTCAAGTGATTTGTTTTTATGATTAATTAAATATTAAATTCTTTATAACGTGTATTAATTTCATAATCAAAGTATTACACAGAGTTCTTAGGTTTTTGGGATTGTTACACAAATGTTTATTTGAGACAGCAAATTCTTATGTGTATCACTCGGCAGTTAAATTCTTTTGCGTCTCATGCATTGAAATCCTCGCTACGCTCAGGATTCTTGGAATTCCTTCGTTTGCTCTCAAGCACTCGCGTCAAACAACAACTTTGCAGCCTTGCAAAACAAATAACAATTATTACACACAAAGAAACATTACATAATCAAAAGATTGATATATGGTATAGTTGGCAACTTTTTTTTAAATATCAAGTGACAGGACGGACAAGTCGTGCGCCTCATGGTAAGCTACACGCCTGTCCATAACAGTTGCATTGCCACGCAGAACCATTACCCTTCAAAACAGGAACACAGTAATGCTGATATTGCTACTTGGCGGCACATGATTGCTAAGTAGCAATCTCTTTTAGACCAACTTTCTCTCTTTTAGACGAATCCAAAAACTGATCTTTTATAAATAGGTTTTAATCTGGGTGTTCTGGGTAGCACCCTGGAGTGAATTCTGTTACTCTGGTGCTTGTCCTCATAGCACAGGATTATTCTCTAGTTTGAAACCGGATAACTGAGTGGTTGAATGAAAATTAACACACTCAATGACAATGATCTATAAGACACACACTATTATTGTTAGATATAATGTTTTTATTTTCCCAGTCTCTTGGCTGGTTTTAATTACATTGAATAATTTACGTACCGAAATCATGGCGTGTATTTATGTTGAGAGTGTGTTGTGATAAGAGCCTATTTCGTCTTCTATCTGCAATTTGACATGTATTTTTATTACTAATTACAGTTATTATTACTTTTCCTGTTTTTTTTTCTCAGACTGTTGGTTGGTTTTAACCACATTTACGGATTGAAATCGAGTAAATGCAGTATGGTGTGTATCTATGTGGCGAGTGTATTATTACTATTAATAGTAATAAGAACAAAACATGTGCTAAAACGTTTTTTGGGATCATTTGCTGCTACATAGGTAGGTACTCATATTTTTGTAGGCAATTTTTTTCATGGTTTCCACATGTGCATGTCCATAATTCACAGGATTGGTTTCGGGATTTGCACGTCACACCCATAATTCTTGATAATTTATTTGTGGAAAAGACAGTGAAATTTACGCCTAGATTGTTTACCTTAGACATTAGTATGTGTATCTAAATATTAGTGTTTTTTTACTTGTTTTATGTCGTACAACACTAATGAACGTAGAAAAATTTTGATGAAAATGAACTTTTTACATCGAAACATAGAGTATTAGAGTATTTACATAGTAACGTCAGTAAGTTAAGTTTCTTTATTAAAAATTAAAAAAATGTTATGATATTAAATGAAAAATACTTTTGTCTTTCCTTTTTTTTATCAAAGTGAAAAAATCAATAACGTTCAGTCGTCGACTGTCAAATATTTTACCAGTCCTTGGACATGAGATATTAGCTCCTCAGTGTCTGTAATAGCTTTGTATCTTCTTTCGTTTAGGGGGACTACCGCACTAATCATTCTAATGGTAATAAGAGCGCAAAAGACGTTGTGCGTTCTACGAACCGGCTTGTTTTACCGGTTCAAGCCGATTGCGCGTTGACAAGCGTGGTGACTCCCTAACTAGTAACACAGCAATGCTAAATAAGTATGGCAGTCATACAAGCTTCTGTACAGATGGAAAATCCTACCATTAGCAAAGTTATTTTTTTTATTATACCAAGAGTCGAGACAAACAAGCCTTGCGCCTGGTGGTAAACGACAAGCCTGCCCATAGCAGTTGCAGTGTAACTCAGATCTTTAAATCGCAAAGGGGCACTGCCAGTTCGCCCTTCACCTGCGCGATATAAGTTGACAAATCCCATGTGCCTGTAATATCACCAGCACCCCTTACCCTTAAAACCGAAACGCAATAATGCTCACATTACCACTTGGCGGGAAAAATAGGTAAAGTGGCAGTGTTTCCTTGGACGAACTCTAATGCTACTAAACACACACAAACAAAGAGCTCTAATGCTACTAAAGTTCTTACAATAACTAAGCATTTACTGCGTAAGTAACATTGTCCTTGTCATACAAAGTTAAAACAACACAATAGTTAATGGCAAACACTTAGTTATTTACTTATTTTATACATGAATTCACATACCTATGTTTATGGGACTATTTAAAAGACGGGACAGTTTACTTTGCAAGCAGTATTCGATTATTTCTAGAACTGTTTATTTCTATTTGTGTCAATGTTGCTAAATATTTTTGCTTTAGTTTGTGTTCTTCTAGTAAATGTTGAGGTTAGTAAGAAACAAAAAGTTTTCATCTTGCTTTATATCTGCGCATAATTTTCTTTTTTTCATTAAAATAAACTAATACTTAAGTAAACTAATAATTATGAAAAAAAAAGTTATGCATATCGTCGAGGTTTACGCGTAACTAGTATTGGATTATGAGTTACAATTTTGGTGACTTCATTGCCAAATTAAAAAAAGGCGTGGCATTCAAAATAGTGTGTTTTTTTAAATAAAATGTACTCACCTGATGGAAAGTGACGATGAGGTCGATGATCTCTCTCGCCTTGAAAAAGCCCAAGTTATAACGTTCAGGGAACAAGTCTGCAGGCAGGGAATTCAACTCAAGAATTCAACAAAGCGTAACGCTTTGTGCGACTCTTTGGAGTAACCACAACATATGGGTGGAACCCAAGCCTACGCCTAGTCTGCCAGTCTGCCGGTGATGGAAAGCCAAGGCGGATATAAATCGTGTAATTCCATCTATTTAAGGGGATCTATTTTTATCAGTCTGTTGATAACATAAATCAATGCTTACTGGGCAAAAACTTAAGTCGGAGCCATTGAAATAACAAAATAATAACGATAAATCTCTCTCCTGTAAAATTTGGTTTATACGGATTTGCACTGGCCCCGACGATATGTGAAATTTTTTAACTCTCCTATTTTTCGATCAATTTAGTTCATAGAATCTTTAAACATGTCTCCTGAAAAGTTATTACACCAAAGGCGCGAATTTATGACAATTAATTTGCTTAATAGTATATTATCATGATTACGAGCACCAGCAAGTGTAGTTCAAACTTTTTATTATTGCGTCACACCATTTATAATATCACGTAAATTTGCGACATTTAAACAATATTTTTTATTTGTTTAAAACAAATTTCAATTTACAGGGTCACATTGTCCGACGTGATGAATCATCGTCAACAAGCGCAGCTCCCAACATCCTGGAATCTTTCCAGAAAAACTTGGAACAATTCAAAAACTGTATAGATCAGAGCCTTGCAAAAACAGTGGAACAAGTCAATGAAAAACAATTACAGCCAGTATTGACTGTTTTAGGCGATTCTTTGAATAGGGTTTCTAAAGCCGTACGTAAAAGTTAATGTCTATAATATAATAAAAATAACTAATAATTATAATAGATCGTCGGTGATATGTAGAAAGTGCAAAAGCGCCATTTCGAAAAATTTTTCAGGACTTGTTTTAGGTTTTAACGACTGTTTTAAAATATTTACGTCGTGTTTTAAATACAATTTTAAAACTGAAACTTAATTAAAACCTTAATGAATTTTAAAACAGGACGTAAGTATTAAAATGTAAATATTAAACAAAACACCGATGATATAATGATTCCCTACCGAAGCGCAGCTGTTTTTCTTCTTTTATTTTCATAACATTTATTTTTTCAAACAAACACAAACATTTTTCTTTTCTTTAGAGTTCTGCACATTTGTATTCGAAAAGGAATACAATGGAATATTTTTCTCATAACCTAAACCTTTCACCACAATTATTACAGATCGAAATTCAAAATTTAGACTTCGATCTGTTCATTTGTATTTTTATGCTAATTTCAAATTTCATGCATATCAGTTGAGGAACGGCCGAATAATTTCTTTCGGAAATTGAATACTATCAATGGATGCCGAGAAAGCTTCGGTCGCTGCATGGGCTTCGATAATGTATCATACGACCATAATAATTACCAATGTAGGGAATTACGTGAATAACTAGTACTTTTGAGACACTATCTGCAATACCTAGAAAAGATCGTTGCCTTCATTAGTCTTTCAGGCAGTCTTTCTTCACAAATACAATTACGCACACGCATACACTCATAGCCCCGCATTAGGTAAACTCTATTTCGCGGGTGCCATGGACACATACATTGTCAACCACAAATTACGTCTAAACTCACGAGAGAAAATAAATTTAGGCCATACAAATATTTCCCCGGCACAGGAATCGAACCAGCGACCTCTGCGTGGCCGTAGTTATGGTATAATCAAATCCGGGACCTTTCACTACGGTGGTACAACCGTTCTCCCACTGGGCTGTTTGTTTTTTGTGAATAAGATAATAAAAAAGAAAACCATTCGGTAGGTGAAAAGATTTCATGGAATTTAAAATATTGTTTATTGATATTAAAAGTTTGTTTTTCTTGTTTCAGTTCGACGACTTGGCTGCATCAACGCAAAGCCCCAAAAACAATAACTAAAATACGGTCGTACACAATTATGTGCTGTTTATTTAATACATTTATATGTATAAGAATGATTGAATGAAATTAGAATAGAATAGAAACCATTTATTACAACGCCACAATGTAAAAAAAAGACTAACGTAAATAAAAACAGAAATAACACAAAAAACAGCAAAACAACATTTAAACAACAAGTTACATAATACTATACTGACATGTGTGCAGCTGTGGCGTATACAATAGGATCACATCCAGATATAGTCACAACTAAGACTAGGCTGTGACGCTGGTTTTCAATTTCAAATTACACAAATTATAATATTTTGAAATGTTGTTGAAAACATTGGGGGGGCCATTTTTTCCAACAACTACGATTTTAGTAAAAACCCTTGTAGATCTATCTGTATTTACTATGTTCATATTCAAGGCTAAGCGTTAATAGTTATATTCAACCGACTTTGTAATGGTGAAGGTTCTCTATCCAGTCATATTATGATTGGATAGAGAACCTCTCATGTGTGTGTGTATGTGTATGCGTTACGCGAATACTCCTACGTTTGTGAATCGATTTCTAAAATGATTTTTTTGTTAGAATTATTTGAAGAAAATATTCTACTTCCAATGGTGGCCAATTTGGGGACGAATTCGGTTTATTGTATTTATTTCACTTTCCATTAAACGATTTCAATAAAACTTGGCATATAGAAGTAATTCCAGTGAAAATAAAATGTTATGTGACCTGATCTGATCGGAAGACGGAAACAGTAGCTTTTATAAGACAAAAAAGTTCTGTAGTAACTCTTTCGGTTGGTCTACTTTTTATTCGTATAGGCCTTTGCAACGTTATGTCACAGGGTGCTGGGCGCAGTGCCAGTGTCCCTCAGGGGGCCTCCACAACCTCTTAAAACAATATTACTTTAACCTTACATTGACTTTTCGTACCATGACGCACTTAAAGTAAGCTTATTGTAATGTTATAACTATGATGTTTTATTGGCAGCTTTGTGACTATTTCGTAATAAGTTCGTACTATGACGCGACTATAACATTAAAGTAAAATTGTTGTTATGTCAAATTTAGCAATCTTAAAATAGTTACACGGATGCAATGGAAACAATATTATTTTGGAATTTATTAAATATAATATAACAAGAAGTAGGTACTCAAACATTATAATACGATAAGACGATTCGGTACATCAAAACAGAAAGAGATGGCATTATATAGTTCATATAGCGTTATTTCTTTCCTATTTTTAGTAAGGAATAGACAATATTGGGAAATCATTCGTTCTTTCAATCACTTTAGCAGTAATACATTACTTGGTTGACAGGTTTGTCATGGTTCGAATATGAGTAACTTTATAATAAGCTTACTTTAAGCTTACATGAAATAAGATTGTTTTTGGAAAGGGAAAAGCCTTAGGTTTTTACGATTTAGAGTGATGCCACATGGGTACTGCCGGTGCGTTGCGTCGTCGCAACGCAATGGATTCAACGCATCGAATGCCAAACGAGCAATGCATCGCGACGTAACATCGCTAACTTTACGCACTGCAGCACCCCTCCCCATTTCGACTCCTGGCCCCTTGTCTGATACGCACGCGTCTTGTCGTCGGTATGTAGTTCTAATTTATTTCTGCTGCCATGCAGTAATGTGAGCATTACTGCGTCCCGGTTTTGAAAGATAAGAGTGTTGGTGAAATTACTGGCACATGGGACTTGTCACCTTGTGTCTCAGGGTGACGGGCGCAGTGGCAGTGCCACTCAGATATTTGTGATTTAAAACGCTTTTCATCGTCACACGTTACCATCACGCGAATGAGTTGTTCGCCCCGTCACTTGGTATTGTAAAAAAAATGTAGTTCAACGCAGCGTCACCGCACAAGCGTTGCAACGCCGCGGCGCCGATACAACGCATCGCAAAGCATGCTCTTACAGCTCTGAGTGGCACTGCAACATGGGTAGGCGTGTTGCTTACCACCAAGTGCACGAATTTGTCGTTCTGTCACTTGATAAGCATATTTTTTTTACGTAGCGGAAAACGTAATGTCCCATTTAAAAGAAATATTAGTTCCGCAAACATCAATACAACAAAAGTTATGATGTGTTTTGTACTTTTTTGGAACCGCTGGAAATGGGCCAGCCTTTATTATATTATCAACAATAAGAACGTAACTTTTATATTTTATATTATGTACATATAATAAATGTTTTTGTACATATTTGCCTACATATTTTTCTGTCTAATGTTTCTGGTTATCGTTTATATTTGGAAAATAAATAAGGCAAAAAAAACTATTGGCCCATTGTGATTCCACGTGATGGGATAAACAAGTCGTGCGCCTGGTGGCTAACCCCACCAGACACGTCTATCCATAACAATACGAGCGTCACGCTGAGACATAAATTGTTAAGACCCATGTGCCTGTAATTGCGCCGCAAGCAAGCTTGCCTTTCAAAACCGAGACGCAGTAATGCTCACATTACTGCTTGACGGCAGAAATATGTAAGGTACTCATTCACAAGGACTTAATTTGATGTTTGTGTAAGTAACATAAAATATATTTTTATCTGTGACTTGTTTCAATTACCAGGGCCTAAACTTACGTTTGTCAATCACCCATAGTAACTAAGATAAAGTATAGTATATTATTGCAGAGGCCGGGAAGTAAGGGATTGCTGGACGAGTATGAGTTACAAGGAATACGAGTCAAGTAATCCTCGTTCCCACCGAGGCTTGTATAGTATTTTTCTCAAACAATATGAGGAAATAATAAAAGACTAAAGAGAGGAAGACGTATAACAGAAAAAGTAAAAAATATATATTAATTAATACTAAAAGCAATATTTGACGTGTTAGGACTTATTGCTAAAAGAAAATGTTATTGTTTTTCCAGGCACATTAGTAGTAGTCTGCTGAATTTTTGATGATGTGTTGGAATGTGTATCTATTACTGTATTTTCGATATCGCTCTTCTCACTAGCACTCATTTTCGCGACCAAAATACAAAAGATGAAAAAACAAAAGAATATCAAAATACTTTATGTAATTATGTAATTATATTTATTTATTTAAATATTACCGCCATTTTGTTTTTCTTTTGATTAAACGGTATAGGTAGGAGCAATGATATTAAAAATAATATCATTGGGTAGGAGGTATTTTTAATTCCCGCAACAATTAACACTAGACAGTTGGCTGTATGAGTTTTTCTTTTGCTCGTTTACATAGTTCATTATTAGTAGGACTTTCATACTTACATTGTAGGCCTTGGCCGGGAAAACGGTTCGAGACTATCAATTAATATAGTACATTACTGCAGAGGCCGGAAAGTAAAGGATGGCTGGACGAGTGTGAGTGAGTTGACATAAGTTGTTATGGGGATTGCTTGACTCGTGTATTAATACGAGTCAAGCAATCCCCGTTCCGGCCGAGGCGTGTGTAGTGCTTTTTTCAAACAATGCGAGGATATAATAAAGAGAGGAACATGTGTAATAAAAAAAGTAAAAAAAATATATATTAAAAGTAATATTTGACATATCAATACAAACACAGTCTCCGAAAACGAATTAGCATTTTTTTCGCTTCTTCATTGCATGAAAGTTTCCTATGTTTTCATGTATCTTACTTTGCTCATAGCCGGCAACAAGTTCTCCATGTCTAATATTGTTTTAAATTAGGTGGAGTACAATCATTATTATTATTATTATTATACATAATCTGTATTTTCGTTATCGCTCGTCTCACTCTAACCATCAATCTGACCAACGGGAAACATGCTCATCTTATAATTTTCACGACGAAAATACAAAAAAGAAGAAAAAACAGAAAAGAGTACCAAAACACTTTAGTTTGTTTTACCGCTTTTTTATTTTATTTTTTTAGTTAGCGGTCTAAGTAGATTTTTTAATTCTCGCAATTACTAATACTAGGCAGTGGGTTGTATGAGTTATTCCTTTGCCTGTTTACATAGTTCATTATTTAGTAGGTAGATTTAAAAGTTCACAGAAGAGGACAGAAATGGATTTTCATACTTACTTTGCAGGCCTTGGCCGGAAAAATCAATTTACTTATATGTCATTTATAAAATCTGACCCAGTACTAGAAACATAATGCCAGCTACAAAAACTTTATTACCTTTGCACTTATGTCATCATACCCAGTACTATTATTATTTTTCGAGTCACGTGTTACTTTAATTACGTCATGATGCTGATGTTACAGGATTCATAAACATAGATTTACGATTATTACACAGACAACAGGGAATCAGACAACTTTTCAGTAGTTCATGTTAACCATAATCATCGAGTGCATAACCAGAAATAGAGACATCAGGCAAATAGGCCTTCAATCACCTTTAAATACCAACTCTCGTTTGCACTGAAATCACCAATTTGAAAACTGAAAGAGTACAGCGCCAACAACTGACCTGTGTGTACGTCTCCGTATATTCCAAAAATATTCTGTAATTATTGTAATAAAAATATCTAACATTGTAATTAGATATATATAATAAACTATCTGTAACAATGTGGGTTGTTCCATTCGGTGGTGTAGGAAAAACAGCAAAACATTTAATTACATAACAAACTTAATCACATTTCATCGGTAATTAGATATGATTTATGTAATTTTGCAATATTCGTCCATTATGGCAAAGCTCAAGTTAAACTGGTCGAATTGAAGTGAAACAATTGAGGACACCCATTGACGATACTCGATACTCGAATTTGGGCTGGCCAATCGGAGCGCTGTTGTCACAGTAATGACATGGCAGAATTAGTAGCAGTAGAGTTTCTTGTGAAAGTATTCGTCCAGGGTAGTACTGCCACCTTACCTATTTCTGCCGCCAAGCAGTAATGTCAAGATTACTGTGTTCCGGTTTTGAAGGGTAAGGGTGCTGGTGAAATTACAGGCACATGGGACTTGTCAACTTATGTCTCAGTGTGACGGGCGCAGTAGTAGTGCCCCTCAGATCTTTCCAATTTAAAACTCTGAGTGGCACTGCAACTATTATGGACAGGCGTGGAGCTTACCCTCAAGCGCACGACTTGTTCGTCCCGTCACTTGATGTTATAAA